CTCCTCTCTTCCTCCCTCTCCTCTCCTCTCTTCCTCCCTCTCCTCTCTCTCCTCTCTTCCTCTCCCCCCTCTCTCTCCTCTCTCTCCTCTCTCCCTCTCCCTCTCTCCCCTTCTCTCTCTCTCCTTGTTGTCACATGACTGTTGGTCTCAGATGAATCAATCATGACGTCATAGTTTCACACTTTAATGTTTAACACACTCTGGTTGAAGTGAACTCTTTATTAGAGGAGACATTTATAAAGAGACATGAAGAATAAAATGTTTGTGATGAAATATCATAATTTTAAGCTTTGTTTCGGTTGTTTTTTCTGACTGAAGTGTTCGTCACACATGATGTGTTCAAGGACCGTCGGCAGGTTTTGGTGTTCAAAGGGTTAAATGTTTTTCTCTAAATTATTCTGAGCTCTGAATTCGGTTCTTCGCTTTGTTTCTTCTTCTTCTTCAGGAGTCGACTCTGAAGTCCGTACTGAGCGCGCTCTGGAACCTGTCGGCTCACTGCACGGAGAACAAGGCGGACATCTGCGCGGTGGACGGCGCTCTGGCGTTTCTGGTGGGAACGCTGACTCACCGCAGCCACACCAACACGCTCGCCATCATCGAGAGCGGCGGCGGGATCCTCCGCAACGTCTCCAGCCTCATCGCCACCAACGAAGCGCACAGGTAAACGGCTGGAAAGAGAGACTCACCTGTCGCTGTCATTTTAGACACTCCAGCCTCATATCCACCTAAAACAGAGCCTGAAGTCAGCAGCGAGGGAACATTTTGGATATAAATGATCAGGGAGTCATGTGATCTATTACACAGTTTAACCTTCATAGTGTGAAAAAACAGTTTAACTGACGACTGTCATTGGCCTAAATTCAGAATAGTAATATATATATATATATATATATATATATATATATATATATATATAGATATAGATATAGATATAGATCTATATATATATATATATCTATATATATATATATCTATATATATATATATAGATATATATCTATATATATATATGGAGATGTTTACTGAAGTATAATAATGAGCTTAGAGCTCGTGTAGGAAGATAAACAGCTCATAATTCATCTATAATAGCTATTTTATATTAACTACTGGATTTATTCAAGTTTATCACCAAAACTACATTTTACAGATGACATGTGAACACATCATGATAACGTTATAATGTACCTTCAGCCAGTACTCATGTTCACTGAGCAGAGCCTGAAGGCATCAGTGTAACTGAAGTGAACCTCCGTTGGTTAGCCGTTAGCGGTGCTGCTAACATTACTAGCTCTCCTCTGATTGGTTGTTTACAATGAAACACGATCAGAGACTAGAAACACATGTTCTACTGAGTCAGTACAACTTTATTTACACTCTGATGGTTAACGGTAAAACTTTATTTACACTGTGATGGTTGACGGTACACCACGAGTATAAACCATCAACATCCGCTGTGTGGATTAAATTATGAAAAATCACGGTTCTCTTCTCCCTGTGTGTTGTCTTGCAGGCAGATCCTGCGTGAGCACGGCTGCCTACCAACTCTGCTGCAGCACCTGAAGTCCCACAGTTTGACCATCGTGTCCAACGCCTGTGGGACGCTCTGGAATCTGTCGGCCAGGGACGCCAAAGACCAGGAGGCATTGTGGGAGCTGGGCGCCGTCGGCATGCTGCGTAACCTCATTCACTCCCGGCACAAGATGATCGCCATGGGCAGCGCCGCCGCCCTGCGCAACCTGATGGCCAACCGGCCGGCACGCTACAAGGACACCAGCGTGGTGTCGCCGGGCGCTGGCGCCCCGTCGCTGCACGCCCGCAAACAGAAGGCGTTGTTCGAGGAGCTGGACGCCCAGCAGCTGTCTGAGACTTTCGACAACATCGACAACCTCAGCCCGAAGGCGGCGCACAGGAAGGGGCGGGGCTGTAATGGCGCCGGAGGAGGAGGAGCGGGAGCGAGTGCGACACGCTCGTACACCAACACGCCGGTGCTGTCGAGCCCGAAGAACGGAGACGGATCGAAGAGGATGAGTGAGGAGGTGCCGTACGCCCGGACGGTGTTCCCGCCCAGCGTCCGAGCGTCCAGCGACAGCCTCAACAGCGTCACGAGCGCCGACGGGTACGGAAACCGCGGCAAGACGAAACCGTCGACGGAGCCGTTCTACTCGTCCGAAGAGAACGGAGCCAACAAGTGCTGCGTCTACAGGAAGTACCCGGCCGACCTGGCGCACAAGATCCGCAGTGCCAACCACATGGCGGACGACGACGGCGCTGAGTTGGACACGCCCATCAACTACAGCCTCAAGTACTCGGACGAACAGCTGAACTCTGGGAGACAGAGTCCGAGTCACCGCGGCAGCATCGAGAGCGACGAGGACGAAGAGCTGAACGGCAGGCTGAGGAGGAGGAACGACGGCGGCGACCCGGCAGCGACTGGCAGCCGCGTAGCGTCCGCCGCGCAGCCTCGCTATGTCGTTGTAGTGGCAAATTCAAACTACGGCGGTGACGCGGCGGTCGAGCAGCCAATCGACTACAGCCTGAAGTACGGCGCCGACGCCACACGAAAACCTCTGTTCAAGCCGGAGGAGACCGCCGCCCCCTCCGGCCCGCCTCCTCCGCCGTCCTCTGGCAACAAGCTCCGCCCCCCTCCGCCCCCAGCCAATCGGACGGTGCCAAAAGGCAACCAGGAGTCGACGCAGACATACTGCGTGGAGGACACGCCCATCTGCTTCTCCAGAGGCAGCTCGCTCTCCTCGCTGTCATCGTCGGAGGAAGATGAAGACTGCGATGTCATCGAGAGGAAGAGGAGAGGCGGGAGGGGCGGCAGCGGTAACGATTACCCGACACTTCCTGTCAGCGAGAAAGACGCACATGAGCATCAGCAGAGGCAGCAGAAGGAGGCGGAGAGCCAGACCGCCACTGCTGCCGCCGCCGCAGCAGCAGCCGCCGCTTCCACTCCCTCCTCCCGAGGCCGACGTGGTCACCACCACCATCACGGCCACGCCCACCACCATCACCACCACCATGTGACATCATCATCAGGCGCCAGGACTCCCAAGAGTCCTCCGGAGCAGCCGTACGCTCAGGAGACGCCGCTGATGTTCAGCCGCTGCACGTCGGTCAGCTCCCTTGACAGCTTCTCTACGTCCTCCATCGCCAGCTCCGTGCGCTCCAGCGAGCCGTGCAGCGGCATGCCGAGCGGCGTGGTCAGCCCCAGCGACCTGCCCGACAGCCCAGGACAGACCATGCCGCCGAGCCGTGCCAAGACGCCGCCGCCACTGCTTCCTCCGCCGATGCAGAGCGCCAAGGAGGAGGAGAAGACCAAGAAGAAGGACGAGGAGGAGAGCAGCGCGGACGTCCTGCTGCACTTCGCCACGGAGAGCACGCCGCACGGCTTCTCCAGAGCCTCCAGTCTGAGCGCGCTCAGTCTGGACGAGCCGTACATCGCGGCGGAGATGAGAGGGAATGAAGAGGAAGATGAGGGAGGGAACGAGGAGAGGAAGGACGAGGAGGGGACGAAACCCATCCTCGACGAATCTGACGACGACGAGATCCTGGAGGCGTGCATCAACATGGCCATGCCCAAGTCGTCACGGAAACCAAAGAAACAGCAACAAGCAGCACCAAGGAAACCCAGCCAGCTTCCTGTTTATAAGCTCCACCCACCTCAGAGTCGCGGCCAATCGCAGCAGAGGAAGGACGCGCCTCCGCCACCGGAGGAGGTGCCGAGAGTTTACTGTGTGGAGGGAACCCCGCTCAACTTCTCCACCGCCACCTCGCTCAGTGACCTCACCATCGACTCCCCGCCCAATGAGGAGGCAGCAGCAGCCGCTGCCGCACCCGTAGCCCCGCCCACCTCCGGCCAGAGGAGAGGGGCAGGGCTCCCGGAGGGTGAGAATGGTGACGACATCCTCGCCGAGTGCATCAGCGCTGCCATGCCCAAAGCCAAACCCAGAAAACCAATCAGAGCGTCGGTGAACAGCGAGCACCTCCAAGCCCCGCCTCTTCCTCCTTCGGTCCCGCCCCCTCTCGCCCTGCAGCAGCAGCAGAAGAAGAAGCCGACATCGCCGGTGAAGCCGATGCCCCAGCGGGCGCCGTACGGCGTCGCCAAAGCAAAACCGGGGTTTGCCTTTGACTCGCCGCACCACTACACGCCCATCGAGGGCACGCCGTGCTGCTTCTCGCGCAACGACTCGCTGAGCTCGCTTGACTTTGACGAAGACGACGGTGGCGGCGGCGGAGGAGGAGAGAAGGACGAGGAGAAGAAAAAAAAAGAAGAAGAAGGCAGGAAGAGGAAGCAGCAAACGGCGGCTGTTTTCCCACGAACGAAACCGGCGACGGAGTCCGACGAGAAGCAGAAGTTTGCCATCGAGGACACGCCCGTCTGCTTCTCCAGGAACTCGTCTCTGAGCTCTCTGAGTGACATTGACCAGGAGAACAACAATAAGGAGTTCGCTCCGCCTCCGCCGCCCGGGAAGAAAGATGGCAGCAAAGCAGGAGGAAAGTCTCCTCCTCCTCCTCAAGAGGAGTTGAAGCCCCGCCCCCCGGCGGCGAGCTGCTACGCTCCCAAAGCGTTCCACGTGGAGGACACGCCCGTCTGCTTCTCCAGGAACTCGTCGCTCAGCTCGCTGAGCATCGACTCGGAGGACGACCTGCTGCAGGAGTGCATCAGCTCCGCCATGCCCAAGAAAAAGAAGAAGGCTGCAGCTGCTGCCGCTGCCGCTGCCGTGGCCACGACGGTTCCTGCTTCCAAAGCCGAGGATAACATTTTGGCCGAGGAGGAGCCTTCGGAGGCGCCGAGAAGCCCCGCCTCCCCTGACTCGGAGACATTCGATTGGAAGGCGATCCAGGAAGGTGCCAACTCCATTGTCAGCAGCCTGAACGCTGCAGCCGCTGCCGCGCCGCTGTCACGCCAACCGTCATCGGACTCCGACTCGGTTCTTTCCCTGAAGTCTGTGGGCTCGCCGTTCCGCCTTCCGGCAGCCAATAACAACGCAGAAGAAGAAGGGGAGGAGAAGGGGGAGGCGGCCATGAAGCGAGGGGGGAGGATCTTGAAGGGCGGAGAACGCAGCACGCTGGAGGCCAAGAAGAAGAAGGAGGAAATAGAGGAGGAGGAGGAGGCGGCGGAGGCGTTGAGAGGCGGGAAGAAGGTGTACAGGAGTCCTTTCACGGGGAAACCGAGGGCGGAGCCATCTGCCAGGGGGCGGAGCAAGCCCAGAGCGGCAGCCGTGGCCAAACCTCCGGGAAGCAGCGACGGCGCCGACAGAGGAGGTGGGTCCTCTCGGGACTCCACGCCGTCCCGCTCTTCCTCGGCAGCCAATCAGAAAGGAGGGAAGCTGCTTCAGATGCCGCGCACGGCGTCTCCAGGAAGTGCGTCATCGTCATCGTCTTCGGCCTCCAGACCGGCCAAACAGAGTGGGCCGGCGAGGAGCGGCGGTAGCGGCGGAGGCATCCCGAGGAGCGAGTCGGCATCGAGGGTCGGCGCCTCAACGGCGGCCAAGAAGCAAAAGGCGGAGCCAGAGAAGCCAGCGCTGGTCCGTCAATCGACCTTCATCAAAGAAGCGCCGAGTCCGACGCTGAAGAGGAAGCTGGAAGAGTCGGCGGCAGCGACCGTAACGGCGTTAGAGTCACCGCCCAGCCCCGATACGCCGCTACCGTCAACGACCAGGCGACACGACGTCAACCGCTCGCACTCCGAGAGCCCGTCACGCCCACAGGAAGTGACATCATCGCGGTTCAGCCGCACGGGCACCTGGAAGCGGGAAAGTAGCAACGCTGGAGGAGGAGGCGGGAGCAAACACTCGACGTCGTTGCCGCGCGTGGGGACGTGGAAGAGGACGGGAAGCTCGTCATCGGTGTTGTCGGCGTCGTCGGAGTCCAGCGAGAAGGGGCGGAGCGAGGAGGAGAGTAGCGTGAGGTCGCAGGGAACGTGGAGGAAGGGGAAGAGCGGTGGCGACTCATCGGCCGGACGCTTCTCCGACAAATCAGAAGACGTGTGGGTCCGTCTGGAGGATTGTCCCGTCAACAACCCGCGCTCCTCCTCTTCCTGTTCGGCTCGCTCTCCCACCACCAACGCCCCGCCTGTCATAGACAGCCCCGCCCCCTCCAAGATCCCCTCCTCCTCCTGCTCTTCCTCTTCTTCCTCCTCCAACCTCAACCTGCGCCGGAGCTGTGAGAGCCTCGACGACAAGCCGGCGCCGCCCGAACGCCCTCAACAACAACAACAACAACAACAACAGCAGCAGCGCAGTCAGCAGCGGAGCGGCGCCGTGGCAGCTCGGGTTAGCCCCTTCAACTACACACCGAGTCCGAGGAAGAGCAGCTCTGATGTCACCGCCCCGCCCACGCCACCCACCACCACCACGACATCATCGTCTTCGTCGTCGACAACCCCCACGCGACCTTCGCTCATCCCGACCCCCGTCACTAAGAAACGGGAGCCGAAGGGCGGCGAGGGCGGCGGCAGCGGTGGAGAGCGAGGCTCGTATATTGTGACGTCGGTGTGAAAACAGGAAACGGGAAGAAGACTCGTACTTAGACACAAAATGGCCGCCACAGCTGGGACAGTTGACCGAAACGGAGGAAGTGTAAATACGGAGGAAGAAAAGCGTCAGAAAGTGTTTGTTTGTGAACCGAACTGTACAGGAAGTGAGTCTGTATTTAAGTGCTAGCCCCGCCCCCTCACCGGCTCTACTCCCCCCCCCATTGGCTCTTCTCACCTGCCAGTCAAGGTTCTTTATTCGATGAGAGAGAAACTTTAAAAATTAACTTTTTATGTTTTTATACCACTAAAAATGATGAGTAGCGCTTAGGTCCGCCCCTTTCTGCCTGTGATCCTGCATGGCCCCCTCCCCCCCTTAACGATGACAGTTACCATGGTGATATAACAATGATGATGTTTCTGCTAGTTGTAGCGTTTTGAAGACGATTCTGCTATCGGACGTTTTCATGCTTTTTTTTTTTTTTTTTTTACGGAGTTTGGTTCTGAAAAAAAAACACAAGATTTTTCTCCTGTCGTCGGGTAGAAATTAATTTATTCTCTCCTTTTGGAGACAGTTTGGTGAGTTCAACATGTCAGATGTGACTTTGCTGCAGTTTGAAAATGAGGGATTCACAGTTTGAGTCTTAAAATAATCCAAAAACATTAGTTTGGATTCTCAAGAAAACTTGTTTCTGGGACATAAAATGTTATGTTGACAGATGTTTGAACAGATGTTTAGATCTAAAGACTTTCTGTCAGATGGATGTAAAAAAATCAGTTTTTCAGAACCTCACTCGTCACTCTCACGAAGGCATTTATTCCAGAGGAGACGTTTGCTGCCAGCCGACTGAACTTTAAAATGAAACCACTTTGAAACGTTTTGAGTCCGTTCTTGAATTTCCTGGTGAATATTTTGGAGGATTTTGCATTTTGAAGAAATGTTGGCTGAGAAACTTCCCGCTCTGTCTCTCGTTGCAAAAACAAATAACACTGTAAAAACGTAAGTTATTGCTGTAAAACCTTAAAATCCTTTTAACTTTGAAGCACATAATTTAAAAACAAAAATGTTTTTTTTGTTGCCAAAAATAGTGAGTTTCCACCGTGTTCTTCACGCTGTACGCTGAGTTTCTCTGTTTCTGTGTCTGCCGGAGGAAACGAGTCAAAGGCTGAGATGTTTAACAGATGATGAATAAAATTCAACGTTTAGGTGCAAACGTCTCTGGTTGTTTGATTGAGAAAATGAGACGGATTAATTGTCTTAACATGTTTGTTGGAGAGATTATTTAGTTTCTCTGTTATATTATATAATATATATATAGTTATATATATATATATATATATATATATAATACGCAGCAGGTTCAAGTCTGTATCACATGCAGCTAACTCAAATTAACATTAAGTCATGTGATGATGTCTGTATAATCCTTTAATACTATAATCCATAGGAGAGTCACATTTACTCAGCACACTTATATAAAATGTATATATTTATATTATAAATATATAGACCAGTGGAGCTGGTGGAGCATGTTCTCTGTAGGGCTGAGCCTCATCAATCAGTCTCAGCAAACATGCCAGAATGATTTAATGCAAAAACATTAAGGTATCAAACACGTATTACTACTTTACTGTTAAATATTTAATATTTATTCCAACATGAAAAAAAACAGAAAATAACACTTTGATAAACACGTCAGGACATCTTATTATAGTCTTAGTATAATATAATCATATTCTGTATAATATAATATATATATCATATAATAATATGCTGTATAATATAATATGCCGTATAATATAATAATATATATCATATAATATGCTGTATAATATAATAATATATATATCACATAATATATATATATAATATATACTGTATATCATATAATATATATATAATAATATGCTGTATAATATAATATATATATATCATATAATATATACTGTATATCATATAATATATATATATCATATAATAATATACTGTATGTATCATATAATACTATTCACTATAATATAAAAACACACACACACATATATATGTATATATGTATATATATATATAAAACACACACACACACATATATATGTATATATGTATATATATATATGTATATATATATGTATATATGTATATATATATGTATATAT